AAAGAAAAAAAATTTCATGGGACAAGAGGAGTTAAATTAGCAATTGGACAGAATGGGTTAGGGTAACATTTGACTGGTGGTGCCTAATGTGATTAACTGCATGTGCAACTACTGATCTGTTGCAACCGCTGCTTCCATCAACAATGACTTGGATTTCTAGTGTTGTACTGTTTGTGTTGGCACTTCTGGTGGCTGCCTTTGCATCTAATGTGTGTGTATGCTACTGGCTCGCTGAGACTGCAGTATGTGCCAACTGTTTCACTAAGAAACAATGATAGACATTTTGTGTGTCTTTCGCTGGCACAGGAATGGAGCAACTATGTGGGTGACATGTTTGAAGGGATGCTGGAACTATGACTTCCTGATTACCCGACTAGGAGAGTTGGATTTTGCATAAGTTTTCTACTGGAGGTAGCCGATCTCACGCCAACCCTTCTTGGTTACTTTTCACGACATGTACGGCAAGTTACAGTGCTACCCTACTTTGGTTCACTTATGGGCCCCACACAGATCTCTACTATTTGCAATCAAGTGAATTATTTAGAAACAACTCCAAGCAATTTTTAAAAAAATTCCTACTTTTTACACTCAAGACCAGAAATATCTTTATCATTACAAAACAACAACATTCAATCTTGTCAGCTTCAACACTACTTCTTGTACATGCTAGGCACTATTTTTTTATTAAGATAAGCCAAAATTTGCAAACACTCTACCTTTAACCTCAGTTATCAAGATTATCTCTGCATACACCATATTTTTTCTTTAGTTTAACAAATCGATCTTTGCACAAACTTTACCTAAACTTCAGTTAAACAAGCCAATTTCTACATACATTTTACTTCAGCTGTGGTAGTCTCTCTCTCCATACACACACACTACCTACAACTTTAGTTATAAAGTCACTCTCTGCAAACACTTTACCTACAACTTTAGTTATCAAGTCACTCTCTGCATACACTTTAACTACATCTTTAGTTATCAAGTCACTCTCTGCATACACTTTAACTACAACTTTCAGCAAAAAATACACAGATGCTCAATATTCTGCAGCTGAACATCTACCAGGAATAAGACAATAATAAAACTTGAACTTCGCCAAACTATAAACCACAGGGTACACGAAGATACTTGTGAAACAAGGCAGACGCAAGCTATCCCCAAGTCCTGGACGACATAGGAAGTGACCACAAACCTATACTCACAACTGTAAGCACCACCCCTAAATTACGCTTCAAGCAGAGAACCCGTTGGAATTTCCGAAAAGCAAACTGGAAACTATTTCAGGAAACATCTGACTGCCTCCTGGGAAGAATTGACAACAGCTGTGTGGAAACTTTTTGTGAAGACATAACACAAGCAATCCTGAATGCAGCGTCGAAAGCCATCCCAAGGGGCAGCCGGAAGGCATATAAACCTTTTTGGAATCAAGAAATTCAAAATACTATATCTGAAAGGAATAAAGCAAGAATATTTCTCGAAACTGCACGTTCAACAGAAGCAAAGATCCAATACAATAAAGCATGTGCCAGAGTAAAGCTTGTAGTTAATAAGGCTAAAAGAGATAAATGGACAGAAACTTGCTCCAACTTAGACCTTAGACAGAATGGAAATAAAGCATGGACTTTAGTTAAAAACCTCTCCGGAGAAAGTAGAAGGGTGAACCCAAAACCAGTGACAGATGGGAGTAAGACAATCACTGAAGACAAGAAGAAAGCAGAACATTTCAATCATTATTTTGCCTCGGTTAACAGAGCAGGTAAGCTGTCAGAACTCGATAGAACACAGCTCTCTCAGTTGAAGAAACAAGAGAGAGCTCCAACAGCCAGCGACTCCCTTTTTGAAAATGAATTTAGCATGGATGAATTAGAGCAAGCCCTGAAGAAATTAAAACCTAGAAAATCTCCAGGCCCAGATAAGATCCACAACGAAATGCTGCTACATCTTGGCCGGTCTGGGAGAGAAGTAGTTCTCAGGCTTATTAATAAAACTTGGAGGTCAAGCAAACTTCCAAGGGCATGGAGGAATGCATATATCGTCCCCATCCTTAAAACCAAAAAGCCTCCAGATGACCCCAAAAGCTACCGCCCGATATCCTTAACATCATGCTTGGGCAAAGTTGCAGAAAGAATGATAAACAGGCGCTTATATTGGTTCCTTGAGAGTTCTGGTGTTCTATGCCATGAACAGGCAGGCTTCAGAACCAACAGCTGCACAGAAGACCAGCTGTTCAGACTGACACAAAGAATACATGATGGCTTCCAGAATAAGAAACACACAGTGGCAGTCTTTGTCGACCTCCAGCAGGCCTATGACAGAGTATGGAGAAAAGGTCTCCTGATGAAGATGATGAGCATAGGAATACATGGCAGATTGTATAACTGGGTGAAATACTTCCTGATAGATAGAACAATCCAGACTAAGATGCACAACGCAATCTCTTCTAAAGAAGTCTTGGAGGAGGGCTTGCCACAAGGCTCATCATTGAGCTGTACACTATTCCTAATCTTTATCAATGACCTGCCAGAACAAATCAAGGCCGAAAAAGCCTTGTACGCTGATGACCTAGCAATATGGCAGAGTCATGAAAATGTGGAAAGTGGAGCCCAAAGACTGAATGGAGACCTTAGAAGACTGCATGATTACTGCCAAAGATGGAAACTCAAGATTAACTGTGCAAAGACGGTCTACACAATCTTTACCAAAAGCCACCAAGTAGCAAGGAAGAATATTAACCTGAGGTTAGACAAACACCAAGTGATGAAAGAAGAGCATCCCACATACCTTGGAGTCACACTTGACCCGCAGCTCAGCCTCAAGAACCATATTGAAAACATCAGGAATAAGGCATTGAGGCGGTTACAGTTATTAAAGAGACTTGCAGGTACATCATGGGGATCAGACAAGGAAACTCTGAGAGGCTTATACCTAGGATATGTTCGCTCTGTGATAGAGTACAACAACTCACTGCTTACAACCTGTTCCAAAACTAACCTAGAGACTCTTGACAGAGTACAAAATAATGCCCTCCGATTAATCTGCGGAGCTATGCAGTCTACACCAACTGCTGCATGTGAAATCCATACAAATGTGGAACCCCTCGGGTTGCGGAGAGAAAAAGCCACTTTAGAAATTTATGAAAGATGCGTTAGGAAAAATCGTAACCATCCTAATAGACATCTTGTAGAAAACTGGGAATCCAAACAAAGAATAAAGCACAAATCGGTTTTACACTGTGTTAATGAAATTCAGGACAGATACCACCTCCCAGAAAGACGTCAAGGAATTCAGAATGTTGCAAAAAACCTACCACCACATGCTCGCTTTAAAGCTCCAGAAGTCCAAACTAAATTGGTAGGCGAGGAAACCAAACAGTCCGACCCAATCGCTCTTATGAACTCATCACTAAAGACCGTTGATTCTTACCCCCAAGAATGGATACATGTCTATACTGATGGATCAGCATTTAAAGCTACCATTAAAGCAGGTTACGGAATCTACATAGGTTATCCCGATGGATCTTTTGAAGAGATTTTTGATGCATGCGGGGAATTCTGTTCAAACTATGAAGCTGAAATAATTGCACTGGAAACAGCAGTATACCACCTAAAGACTGTAATGGATGTTTACCCCTCAAAGGTCCAAAATATTGTCATCTTCACAGATTCAATGTCTGCCCTTCAAGCTCTGGAGGGCAATGAACGTTGCAGAACTGACATAGCCAAGATAATCCTGGATGCCGATCAGCTTATTACCTCATACAACATCAGAATAGTGATGCAGTGGATTCCAGGTCACTCCGGCACACCAGGTAATGACAGAGCTGACAGATTGGCAAAGAAAGGAGCAACACAAGAACAACCACCTACAGCGACAACCCTCCAGACAGCAAAAACACTGATAAGAGCTATAAACAAAGAGACTTGGTTGAACAGATGGGCCATGGGAGACACTGGAAGAGAGGTTTATAGACATATGTCTGGCCCTGATCCTAATGACAGCATTAACCATCTAACAAGAAGGGACCAGGCCACCATCTTCAGACTTAGAACGCAACATACTCCACTCAATGGACACCTAAACAGAATACAGCCACAACACTCCCCAGAGTGCCAGCTATGTAACTACCCCTACGAAACTGTTGAACACCATCTCTTTGAGTGCCCAAAACTCAGTGAGACAAGAAGAACGCTACTCCCTCCGAGACCAGACAAGTGGAACACCTTGTACGGAGGAAAAGAACAGCTTGTGAAAACATGCAAATTCCACTACATGGCATTGGGCCAAAGGGCGAAAGCTCATGCGCCGCTGGATCGATAACAACAACAACAACAACTACAACTTTAGTTATCAAGTCACTCTCTGCATACACTTTAACTATAACTTTAGTTATCAAGTCACTCTCTGCATACACTTTACCTACATCTTTAGTTATCAAGTCACTCTCTGCATACACTTTAACTACATCTTTAGTTATCAAGTCACTCTCTGCATACACTTTAACTACAACTTTAGTTATCAAGTCACTCTCTGCATACACTTTAACTATAACTTTAGTTATCAAGTCACTCTCTGCATACACTTTACCTACATCTTTAGTTATCAAGTCACTCTCTGCATACACTTTAACTACAACTTTAGTTATCAAGTCACTCTCTGCATAAACTTTAACTATAACTTTAGTTATCAAGTCACTCAATGCATTCATTTTGACTACAACTTTAGTTATTAAGTCACTCTCTGCATACACTTTACCTACAACTTTATACACTTTACCTAAACTTTCCCTTTAATCAGACACAAACTGAAAATAAAAGCAATTCATTTTCCTCTTGGCAACAAATATGATCAGATCTGGCAAACACAAAGAGACAGCTGACACTCTTATACACCATGCTGTGATAATATTCTGTTACATGAGGGTGCTGAAAAGACCCATGACATGGTTACACATGCTCACAGATGTATGCACCATTTTACAACGACCAAAGTCTGCAGGGTCAACACAAGTAGTTCCTGTAGAGCAGAACTCCTGCACAGGCAGCCACTCCAGCTCCAATCACAAGGGCAAACTGTTTTCCAGAGCTACCAAAGTACTCACGAATTGCTTCCTGGAATGTTTGATTTCATAGGGGGGAAAAGAAGTTATTAGATTAAATGAAGCATCATGAAGTATCTAACATATACAAACAGTTACCCATTTAACTTCTGACAGTGAAACAAATGGATGAACATAAAAGTTATTGTTTCTAAAGGTATACTTTATGCTTCTTTTTCTTCTTCTTATAGTCCATGCCACGTGTGTTGGTAGTCATGCCTAGCCACAACCTTCTGTCTCATTTACTTTCAATCAATTCTGACAGAGACGATCTTCCATACCATGATGTCAAACTGTCCAGCATCTTCTCCCTTAGCCTCCTGCTGCCTCTCATCTTCTCCCTTAGCCTCCTGCTGCCTCTCATCTTCTCCCTTAGCCTCCTGCTGCCTCTCATCTTCTCCCTTAGCCTCCTGCTGCCTCTCATCTTCTCCCTTAGCCTCCTGCTGCCTCTCATCTTCTCCCTTAGCCTCCTGCTGCCTCTCATCTTCTCCCTTAGCCTCCTGCTGCCTCTCACCTTCTCCCTTAGCCTCTTTCTGCCTCTCACCTTCTCCCTTAGCCTCCTTCTACCTCTCATCTTCTCCCTTAGCCTCCTTCTGCCTGTCATCTTCTCCCTTAGCCTCCTTCTGCCTCTCATCTTCTCTCTAAGCCTCCTTCTGCCTCTCACCTTCTCTCTAAGCTCCTTCTGCCTGTCATCTTCTCCCTTAGCCTCCTTCTGCCTCTCATCTTCTCCCTTAGCCTCCTTCTGCCTCTCATCTTCTCTCGTAGCCTCCTTCTGCCTGTTCCCCTCCAAATTTCCCGTCGTACTCCAGTTTTCTCCTTCTCATGACATGTAGACTGACATTATGCATAGCAATCTAATAATCCCAGGGAAGTGAGAAAATGTGAAAATATATTAATGCTTTTACTTAATATGCCATTTAAGCCATGCTCTGGAGATGTAGTAAAATTCACACAATTTTCATCAAGTAAGGAATTTTTTAAGAATGAAATGGACATATAGCAAATTTTTTATTCTGTGTTTGCCCCACACTGTTTGGTTTATAATAGGCTGCTGAATCTGCGCCTTGTGAATTTTAGCAAAATGCTTGTCAGGGGACAGTGGCTATAATCTGACCAGGGAACCCACCAAGTGGTTTAACACAGGAGTAGTTCTGAAGCTGAAACAATTTATAGAAGATTATTTTGTAGAGACTAATGCTATAAGTACACAGAATCTGTGATACATGGAGTGTAGCACATGTCTGTGTGTACTGGTGTAGCACATGTCTGTGTGTACTGGTGCAGCACATGTCTGTGTGTGTGTACAGGTGCAGCACATGTCTGTGTGTACTGGTGTAGCACACATCTGTGTGTGTACTGGTGTAGCACACATCTGTGTGTGTACTGGTGTAGCACACGTCTGTGTGTGTACTGGTGCAGCACACGTCTGTGTGTGTACTGGTGCAGCACATGTCTGTGTGTGTACTGGTGCAGCACATGTCTGTGTGTACTGGTGCAGCACATGTCTGTGTGTGTACTGGTGTAGCACATGTCTGTGTGTACTGGTGCAGCACATGTCTGTGTGTACTGGTGCAGCACATGTCTGTGTGTGTACTGGTGCAGCACATGTCTGTGTGTGTACTGGTGCAGCACATGTCTGTGTGTGTACTGGTGCAGCACATGTCTGTGTGTGTAATGGTGCAGCACATGTCTGTGTACTGGTGTAGCACATGTCTGTGTGTGTACTGGTGCAGCACATGTCTGTGTGTACTGGTGTAGCACATGTCTGTGTGTACTGGTGTAGCACATGTCTGTATGTACCGGTGTAGCACATCGCACATGTCTGTGTGTACCGGTGTAGCACATCACACATGTCTGTGTGTACCGGTGTAGCACATCGCACATGTCTGTGTGTACCAGTGTAGCACATCGCACATGTCTGTGTGTACTGGTGTAGCACATGTCTGTGTGTACTGGTGTAGCACATGTCTGTGTGTACTGGTGCAGCACATGTCTGTGTGTACTGGTGCAGCACATGTCTGTGTGTACTGGTGCAGCACATGTCTGTGTGTACTGGTGCAGCACATGTCTGTGTGTATTGGTGTAGCACATGTCTCTGTGTGTACTGGTGTAGCACATGTGTCTGTGTGTACTGGTGTAGCACATGTCTGTGTGTACTGGTGCAGCACATGTCTCTGTGTGTACTGGTGTAGCACATGTCTCTGTGTGTACTGGTGTAGCACATGTCTGTGTGTACTGGTGCAGCACATGTCTGTGTGTACTGGTGCAGCACATGTCTGTGTGTACTGGTGTAGCACGTCTGTGTGTACTGGTGTAGCACATGTCTCTGTGTGTACTGGTGTAGCACATGTCTCTGTGTGTACTGGTGTAGCACATGTCTGTGTGTACTGGTGCAGCACATGTCTGTGTGTACTGGTGCAGCACATGTCTGTGTGTACTGGTGTAGCACATGTCTGTGTGTATTGGTGTAGCACATGTCTCTGTGTGTACTGGTGTAGCACATGTCTGTGTGTACTGGTGTAGCACATGTCTGTGTGTACTGGTGTAAGACATGTCTGTGTGTGTGTACTGGTGTAGCATATGTCTGTGTGTACTGGTGTAAGACATGTCTGTGTGTAATGGTGTAGCACATGTCTGTGTACTGGTGTAAGACATGTCTGTGTGTACTGGTGCAGCACATGTCTGTGTGTACTGGTGTAAGACATGTCTGTGTGTACTGGTGTAGCACATCGCAGATGTCTGTGTGTGTACTGGTGTAGCACATGTCTGTGTGTGTACTGGTGTAGCACATGTCTGTGTGTACTGGTGCAGCACATGTCTGTGTGTACTGGTGGAGCACATGTCTGTGTGTACTGGCGCAGCACATGTCTGTGTGTACTGGTGCAGCACATGTCTGTGTGTGTACTGGTGTAGCACATGTCTGTGTGTACTGGTGCAGCACAAGTCTGTGTGTACTGGTGGAGCACATGTCTGTGTGTACTGGCGCAGCACATGTCTGTGTGTACTGGTGCAGCACATGTATGTGTGTACTGGTGCAGCACATGTCTGTGTGTACTGGTGCAGCACATGTCTGTGTGTACTGGTGCAGCACATGTCTGTGTGTACTGGTGCAGCACATGTCTGTGTGTACTGGTGCAGCACATGTCTGTGTGTACTGGTGTAAGACATGTCTGTGTGTGTGTACTGGTGTAGCACATGTCTGTGTGTACTGGTGTAGCACATGTCTGTGTGTACTGGTGTAAGACATGTCTGTGTGTGTGTACTGGTGTAGCATATGTCTGTGTGTACTGGTGTAAGACATGTCTGTGTGTAATGGTGTAGCACATGTCTGTGTACTGGTGTAAGACATGTCTGTGTGTACTGGTGCAGCACATGTCTGTGTGTACTGGTGTAAGACATGTCTGTGTGTACTGGTGTAGCACATCGCACATGTCTGTGTAGTCAAGCTGGGATTTTACTGCTAGAGCCACAGTACTTGCTCAACCATGTTATGCAAGCCAATACCTTTATGTTTATGATGGTAGTTAGCACACTGATATGGTTTACAGCTGGACAGTGATATCTGCGCCTTTTAGACCAACACATCCGATTTCAGCAGACCCGTAATTAGCCACCTCTTACATTCTGGTGGGGTGGGGGAAGAGGCAATGATCTGGCCGGGTCCCAGAACCCACACGGGGAGTATAAGCCATCATTCTTTTTTGCCTTCACCCTTAAAAAGGTGACTGGCATGTTGTGTTGCGGTTTACAGCTAGGTTGCAATATCTGTGCCTTTCAGCCCAAAGACACCCGATGTCAGCAAACCCTTAAACAATCACTTTTTCCGACAGGCTTACAATACTATGAAACTATGCTCGAACATGAAACTTTCTGTGCCTGAAGCTCCTATTTACTGTACCTATGCTAAAGTAGCCCAGTAAATCCACAAATAGGTACTCCATGCTTGGTAAAGCAAATATTTATGAATCTATACAAAACACTAACAAAAATCCTGGTGCTTTAGTCACATAATGCAGTGCACTGACGTATTCTACACATTGTATTTTTATTGGCCTTCCCTGCTGGGATTCCAGGCCCCAGTTTGGAAAAGGGGGTGGGGTGAGGTAGGGGATAAACCCACTGCTCCTTAACAAGCATCTTGTAAAAGGCAACTAATTATGGATTTGCTTAAATCAGATGTGTTAGGCTGAAAGGCACAGATATCAAAGAGTAACTGTAAACCACAACACAATGTCCCAACTGCCCCTTTCAGGGTGAATGCAGAAGAAGAAATGTTTGCCTTTCTCTCTCACAAAAGCCAAATCTACCAAAGGAACGTGCACGCAAAACTCTCAAGTTCTGGAACACGACTAAAGTCCAGGAATGGATGAACAACCAGAACCTGAGTTCACAGACAGTGAACTCAAAAAGATATAGCAGCATCAAACAGCAGAGATAAATGTCTAACTAACTTACCCATCCACCTCGCTCCAAAATCCACTGCACCACACGATCCCTCATGAACTCAACAATCAGATTAATAACAGCTCTGATCAATGGTATTCTATCAAGTGCCTGAGAAAAGAAACAGCAAGAACGGTTATTTTCTCAGGTAAGATATGGGGTTCTGTTTGTTTCCTGGAATAAGTAGAAGTTGCTCATTAATGGTGTTGTGCTTACTGGATTCAGCTCTGCCGTAGTTAGTGGGTTTTTCTATCACATGCAACATTCTATATTTAGCTGCTGGGTTAATTACTAGATATTTAATTGTTATTTCTGATTTGTTATGCCACAATGGCTGCATAATATAAAGGTGCCTCAATGTATTTATGTTAGTATTACTTTCACAATAATTTTGTGTTGTGATTGGCTTATAAACAGAGAGCCGCTGTGGTTACGCGCTGAAAGCTCACCTGCAGATCTAAAGGTCGTCTGCTCAAACCTGGATGGTGCTGGACATTTCAAAAAATGACCCAGGTTTCCAGGTCGACCCACCCTTAAATGGGTAGCAGGTAACAGTCCTGGGAAGTAGAGGCAGCTGGTGTGATACTACCACATCACCCACAGAGTCTATAAAATATAGGTCTAGCCAATTATATGCGCAATATGCCTAATGTCATGGAAAAGAGACCTTTACTTTTACTTTTTGCTTATAAACACTCAGGAGTCTTCTTGGGTTCAAATTAGCATTTGGACAAATTCGTATAATTCAGCTTAGGTCCGAGACTGATCCAGTCTATAGAGGAATCAGGAAATGTTCTGAGAAGAAAAGATGGCCAGCACCATCTGGTCTCTACAAATATAAGTCCCTCAACATCTGCCTATTGTGCCGTTGATGAGGAAAAAGTCATTACATTTTGTTTACCTCTATACCATACAACAGTGATGTCAAAAGTAGACAAACACTTCCACAATAACATGAGTAATTTGTAAATGTATTAACCTTCAAGCAAACTTTGTAAGCAAAATAGAAATGTATTTACCTTTACACAAACTTTGTAAGCAAAATAGAAATGTATTTACATTCACACAAACTTTGTAAGCAAAAAAGAAATGTATTCACCTTCACACAAACTGTGTAAGCAAAATAGAAATGTATTTACGTTCACACAAACTGTAAGCAAAATAGAAATGTATTTACCTTTACACAAACTTTGTAAGCAAAACAAAAATGTATTTACCTTTACACAAACTTTGTAAGCAAAAAAGAAATGTATTCACCTTCACACAAACTGTGTAAGCAAAATAGAAATGTATTTACGTTCACACAAACTGTAAGCAAAATAGAAATGTATTTACGTTCACACAAACTTTGTAAGCAAAAGAGAAATGTATTTACCTTCACACAAACTTTGTAAGCAAAAAAGAAATGTATTCACCTTCACACAAACTGTATAAGCAAAACAGAAATGTATTTACGTTCACACAATCTGTAAGCAAAATAGAAATGTATTTACGTTCACACAAACTTTGTAAGCAAAATAGAAATGTATTTACCTTCACACAAACTTTGTAAGCAAAATAGAAATGTATTTACTTTCACACAAACTTCGTAAGCAAAATAGAAATGCATTTACCTTCACACAAACTTTGTAAGCAAAAAAGAAATGTATTCACCTTCACACAAACTGTGTAAGCAAAATAGAAATGTATTTACGTTCACACAAACTGTAAGCAAAATAGAAATGTATTTACGTTCACACAAACTTTGTAAGCAAAATAGAAATGTATTTACCTTCACACAAACTTTGTAAGCAAAATAGAAATGTATTTACATTCACACAAACTTTGTAAGCAAAATAGAAATGTATTTACCTTCACACAAACTTTGTATGCAAAATAGAAAAGAGCTACCACTCGTCCCCAGTTGAAGATTCCATCCTCGAATATGCGAGATGCCACATTCAACAATGTCTGTCTTTCTGCTTCTGGTGGCACTTTAGTAACTAGCCTGGTCAACAGTGAAACACGCAGTACATCAGTCAACATTTAAAACGCAACATTTGATTTTTAGAAAACCATGTTATCATATATATTTTTTATTTTCTTCAATCCTCTTTGGAGAAAAGTGTATGCATCACACACACTGCTTCCGTGTTTACTCAGTTGATTTACCAGCCTTTGTGTCAGATTGTAGCCTCCTGTCATATGTGATAATTTAGTGCTTTTTTTAAAGCAAATATTTACGGTCAAATGTTCATCTACATCTTGTAAACCAGGACTGTTCAACTGCCGGCCCATGGACCAAATCAGGCCCACGGAAGAATGGCCTGTGGCCCGCAGATCATTGCCAGTTTTACTGTATTATTTATCTTTCTATCTTGGGCCTATGCCCCTGAATATACCCAACCCATTTCCAAAATTCTGGCCACTCAGAAAATTTAGTTGAACAGCCCTGCTGTAAATTGACTAGTAACAAGTATGTGACTAGTAAATTTATTGTTCTATTTAAAATATTTATGGTTCTATTTATTTAAGATATTTATGGTTCTATTTAAGATATTTATTATCCTATTGTCATATATTCCTCATGTGGGTTTCGGGGCCCCATTATGGGGAAAACAAGAACAGACCCACTGTCTCCCCAACAAGCATGTCGCAGGCATCAACTAACTGACATCCTTCATAGTTGGAGTACATCGGCCTGAGAGACAAGGAACCCAGTCTGCATACAAATAAGCGAGATATGTAAAATACATATGCACGCAACACTCCAGTTCTGGAACATAGAGTCTGGAAATGGACAACAACAAGAACTTTATACGCCATAGTCTACAGCCAGAGAACATGAAGAAGATTTTTTTATATATGCCCTGTTAACTGACTAGTATAAAATTAGAGTGAAGTAAAAAAGTGCCCCAATTTAGGTCACTTGTGTTTAGATCATAAGTTGCTAGACTCGCATGTTTGTAAATAATCTGCACTATGTGGGTGATGATGTCAACATCACGTCAGTTGCCTTTACTTCCCACAACATCACCGGATACCCATTTTAGGCTGGGTCGACCCGTGAGCCAACATCAATTTTTGAACCCCATTTTAGGCTGGGTCGACCTGTGAGCCAACATCAATTTTTAAAACAATCTGTTAGACTACCGTTTCGAAACCAAGACTTTCTGCCTGGCAGACGGGAATATAGCCACTACACCACCGTGGCTCCTGCAGAAGCAAACAACACGTAATTGAAAACTTCCGTAAGCCTGAAGATTCCGGTCACACATGTTAATTTTCTGCCCTTACTAACAGTCACAAACTCATCTAAACCACGTAAAGTGAGGAGTAAAAATTAACATATAATCTAAAACCTCTACAGCCTCCTGTCATATGTGACCATTTATTGTTCTATTTTCCAAAATATGTAGTGTCCCGTTTTCAAATTTGGCCTAGAAACGGATTAGTAACAAATGTGTGACATGTAATTAAAGCATATTAGTTCTGCAAGCAAGCAGCTACTCACTCTTGTAACTTCTGATCCCTGTCTAAATCGTCACCAATACATTTCAGGGCCCTGGCTATCTCTCGTACGTGCTCCATGGGTGGACCTGGCAGACAATAACAGATTACAAAATAACATATCAGAAACCATTTGCACTACATCTGTTCTCCTGTCTAATGATTCTTCTGGTTTGTGAACAATTATTTTCACTGCACACAAACGCCAGAAGTGTTCCATTCTCTCCCACTATATCACAGCACAATGCATGAACTCTGCAACACCAGCAAGGATCTAAACGTGTGTGTACAAAGAATCACACATGCCTTTAAAAAAATGCTGTTTTATTATTATTACTATTATTTGTGTTTTTTTTTTTAAATTATCTTATTTTTTATAATCTGGAAATGTCTCGGTAGCTATATGGCTTGCTCTTTTATTTTACACTGCTGAGGTATTTTGATTACGCACAAAATGCAGATAGTTCTTTAATGTTTTTCACCATTATACTGTCGACTCAATTCAACGACTTTCAAAGAAGAGGCATAGTATTACACAAGTGAGTAGAGGGACCAATTCCCTACCTGGAGGCTGCAGGGTATATGGTGCTAGATCATCACCATCAAGTGCCTGGCCAACTGGCGTGGGTGATCATGCCTCTCCACAATCTGTAATCCACAACTGCATGTGTTGACACCCCTCATGCCATGACAAAAGGCTGTCATGAATCTTCTCGCGCTGTCTTCCTCTGTAGCTCTTTCCAGTGGTCACAACATGTTTCAGTTTCCTTCTTCTCATAACATGACCAAAAAAAGAAAGTCTCTTTCCAATGTTTGTGAAAAGTTGTCTTCGAGCCCTCACCTCTTTCAAAACATCGCAATTGCTCTTTTTAGCTGTCCCAGGAATTCTAAGGATTCTTCTGCAAAACCACATCTCCGAGGCCTCAAGAAATTAGATCTAGATATTAAAGATAAATGAGCACTTGATGAATGACGTAGTTATTATACCAGCCACCTTCACTTCCCATCAGCACCTGATGAATGACCTGGTTATCATTATACCAGCCACCTTCCCTTCCCAAAACATTTCCGGGTCATCACTTTAGGATGGGCATGTGGAACGCCAGGGCAAAATTTGTGTTACCTGCCTGGAAGAGCATTTGAACCTATGACACCTAGGCCAACAATACATGAGACTACAGATGTCCCCTGTAACTAAGTGGGAAGGTTAATCCAGATCACAAATGTCTGAAGAAGTCAGATGTGTCAGCTGAGAGGCACAAATATTGCAGCTATGCTACAAACAGGCACAACACATTTATGTCACTCAATGAAGAATACCGGTAGCATAGCTGCAAGATGTTCCAGCCGACCTGAAGGTCTAGAATTCAAATCCACATTATGGCAGATTTTTCCTTCAAAAATGACTTTGGCTTCCAGGGTGACCCAGCTTCAAATAGGTATCAGATCATCTCTGCGAAATAAAGGTGGCTGGAGTTATGTTGACCACATCCTAGAGTACCCATCTGTTCACTAACTATGTGGATCTAGCATTTTGTGAAAAGGTCCTTCTATTTTTAAAATACATTATATAGCAATAAAAATAATTTCAACACCTGTTTTTTTTTAAACTGAAAACTATAAAAGTTGTAAGATCAAAACTCCATTTTTTCAAGGTTATGGAGGACTACAATAGAGTTTTCAGCTGTTTGAGAGGTTTTTAAATAAGAGTTTATCTCGTCTAGAAACATTGTATCTGCTTTGATATATAAAAATGTATCATTCTGCTTCTCACCTTTTGGTGTCCCAGGTTCTTGCAACTGGTCCAATCCTGGGACATTTTCAAATCCATCCCTTTGCAATCTGTCATGGAGGAAACTATTGAGCAAGAAACGGCCTTGATTTGTGACGTCATCTGGTGTTAAATACTGCTGCCGAGATGCCGAGCCCGCTATGCCACCTGAACAAGTGACAAAATAAATTTTGAACTCTACCAGTCAAGAACACTAAACTAAACCAGATGAGAACACTGACAATCTTCACTGATCCTAAGAACCGAGGTAATCTGAGGACATCATTTTTTAAAACTGTTCATACAAACTCACGTTACTGTTATGGAAACGTTAGATAAATGTTATAATTTTATTCTTTGTAAAATAGATCTTGAAGAAAGTTAGTTCTATCAATACTGTATCTAATGTAGACGAAATATAACAGTTAAAAGAAGAAGAGCAAGGGGAGGAATGGGATACAAGTGGGAGGATAACATCAGGAGATGCAGTGTAACTGTGCAATCAGGGTGAGAGATAGAGCATGATAGACATCTATTTTAGGCAACCCGAAATGAGACTGAACCTGCACTGAGGAGATGCTATGTGACTGAACCTACACTGAGGAGATGCTATGTGACTGAACCTGCACTGAGGAGATGCTATGTGACTGAAAATGCACGGAGGAGATGCTATGTGACTGAACCTGCACTGAGGAGATGCTATGCGACTGAACCTGCACTGAGGAGATGCTATGTGACTGAACCTGCACTGAGGAGATGCTATGTGACTGGACCTGCACTGAGGAGACGCTATGTGACTGAACCTGCACTGAGGAGATGCTATGTGACTGAACCTGCACTGAGGAGATGCTATGTGACTGAACCTGCACTGAGGAGATGCTATGTGATGCTATGTGACTGAACCTGCACTGAAGAGATGCTATGTGACTAAACCTGGCAGGAAGTCGCCAATTAGACAACTCTTACAACATGCTTGTGGGGGGAGGCAGTGTGTCTGTTCTTTGTTTTCTCCACAATGGGAGACTGGAACCCACACAGAGAATTTGTACTTGTAATATTCTAAAAATATTTTAAATACTGTTTATTAAACAAACAAACAAACAAACAAAAAAAACAAGCACAGTTTTGTTTTCATGAGCAGTTTGTATATCTACTGATAAAAATCTAACATGGAAGCGTGCACATTTAATTGCAGAGTAAGAACATATTCTGACTAAAACATACCTCTGTACTTTCTGTTTCTCTTGTTGCGGAATCTATTTTCTCTTTTTATTCACATTTTGCTATGCTTGATATACTCTATGGGGGAGGGGAAGGGGGGGGGGGGGTCTTGCCATATACTCAAGGGAGGTGTGGGGTCTTGCCATATATTCAAGGGGGGGGGGGGGGGGTGAGGTCTTGCCATATACTCAAGGGAGGTGTGAGGTCTTGCCATATACTCAAGGGAGGTGTGGGGTCTTGCCATGTACTCAAGGGAGGTGTGGGATCTTGCCAAGGGGGACATAACCTAAAAAAAGGTTGAATACTACTGATGTAAATTATGGACAGTAGGAATACAACAGTCTCTGTAGACCCGCATACATAAAGTGCATCAAAAGGCAACTACATGGCATTTTATACTCCATCTTGACACCATAAAGCCAAGATGAAATGGGATGGAGCTCTAGAACTTGTCTGTCAGTGTAAATCAGAAAGCAAACACATAAGAAGAAGGATGGAACTCCCGTCAACTTTTTATCACCAAGCATTGATCGACTAAGCAAACTAGCTTCAGAGCATATTCTGCAGAATTTCTTTGTACAACAAATGAGCTGAGAAAGACTCATTGTGCCTTTAAGCCCCTATTAGCTCAAACCATGTTGCACTCTTCTTTGCAACTCACTACATGCCCACTGTGCATGGACTTACCTTCAACTCTGTCCCTGGACACACTGTCATTGTTGGAAATAACAGAGCTGATAGACTGGCTATAATTTCTATAGTTGCAGATAGTTGCATATGGATGTTATTACTGCCCTTAGGGAGAAAGAGAGACCGCAGGATTCTGGGGGCAATGCGCCCACATCAATGCTAAAGAATGAGAGAATATGGAGTAAAGATTGGCACAATCAAGCACAACGGACACACCAGATGTACTAAAAGTCTTGTCAATCCACAAAGGACCAGCACTATTAACTGTGAGATGCTGATAACAATGTTGAAAAGATGGGGGATGGGAGGAGGGGGCTGAGGTTTGGACCTGTTCAAGGCACCAAGGATAAATGAAATCCTATACTCAACAACTCATTCATGTGTCTCTCATTCTTTTCGCCGCTGCTTAATTTGTTTGTCTCTTAATATTATTTTGCCCTGTTATATTATCAAATTTGTTTCAACCAGCGCCAGCATTTTTTTTGTCACTTCCTGATTTACTTAGTATTCAACTAAAGCTCTGATGTGAAACAACGAGAAATACTGTATAAAACTAAAGAAGTACTCCAAACAATGGTCACGTTCTTAATGCGCGTAGTGGCGCGGGGTATACGTTCGGCGGTGAGGCATAGTCACAGAAACAGGTCCACAAGTAACATATCACTGAGAGCCTGTTAGAGCATTTGTTTCGTTTTTCTGAGCCGATCCTAGATTTGCCGCAATTTGTTCGTCGGCAGAAAGTTCGACAATGGAAAGTGTCAACGGCCGCTATTACCGTCGTCTGCAGTGTTGCGTCTCTTAGAATTGTCGGCTCTCCTGTCAACTACGGCCGGTAGACAACAGTAGACGGCCGGTTAGTCGGAGTTCTGTCCCCTGGCTGCAGTGCAATTACGGACTGGAAACGGCACGAATCAGACCACAAAGTGAGGTCGACATGCCTAGCAGACCCCGCGCTGCGACTCAAATTAGCGACCGCGTTCAATTACCGCTTCTTGCGACGCATTACGGAGTGGATTAGAGGGAACGATACAAGTGACAGAATTACTGTGTGTTGGCGATAGACAGCGTGCAGTGCCCTACTGTCATCATATAGTTTGGGTTAGGGTGTGGGTTAGGGTTAGGGGTAGGGTTTGGGTTAGGGTTGCTACTTTGAGTTTGTGCGACGAGATGTGGCGACACTACCCGTAACCCTAACCCACACCCTAAACCTAACAACCCACACCCTACCCCTAAACCTAACCCTAACCGTATGATTATACTTATAGCAGGGCAGTGCACGCTGTCTATGCTAACGCCAACACATAGTAATTATGTCATTAGTTTCATTTCCTCCTGTCCAGTCTGTAATTGCACTGCAGCCAGGGGACAGAACTCCGACTAACCGGCCGTAGTTGACAGGAGAGCCGAATTGTCAGGTAATCAGAAACAATAAGAAACAGGTCCGCAAGTAACATATCCCTGAGACCCTGTTAGAGAATTTGTTTCGTTATAGGGAGCCAGCATATTTTTAATTGGACTGCGCCTCGAACGGATATTTCAGGCCGCAATACTGCGGGGGTAGAAGTTAGGAGGAGAGCCCTTGCCTTATTTATCAGTCTTATGTCCTCGTATAACTACAGACCCGTCTGACAGACTGAGTTGAATGATGCAAACCCAACATTCTGAAATGTGAGAGGATACTGACTATTGATTGTGATGAATTGTCTTTTTTCCCTCGAGATACATCCAGTCGTGCTGGTTTCTTCTGTTTTACTTAATAACTAACTAAAGTTAAATTAGATAAATGACCGTGCTGATGAATGAGAATGGTGTAGGTTACTCGGTGACTGAACAAATTTAAACTTTAATAATACACGGACAAATCGAGTAAGTTCTACCTCTTAAAAAGAACGGTTTTTGTTCCTTGCTTGCCATTTCGCTAGGATAAGGGTCTTAATCCTGTAAGTGCATCCAAGTCTACTTGTGAGCCAACATAAACGGAAAGCTTCTCCCTGAAGCCAGATTATCCTCTCGTGTCCTCAGTGAACATCCGCCATATTTATCAATGGAACAGGGGAGATAACTGTCAAACATTATGTCATGATGTTTTCGCCTCTTGGTCTATTACTGTTACTGATTCAACCTGGCCTTACTATTATTTATAGTGCTGAGATCAGCTGTATAATGTCAATACTAACCCGGAGCTGTCATTTATCTCCAAGGGACTTATCACATGGTCTCAGCTTTTTAAATAAATCAGTTGCCGTCTCTGTAAATTCGCAAAAGAATCTCTCTACTAGCATTGTCATATTGTCTCTTGCTCTGATTGTACATTCTCTTTGAGGTTGCTATACACGGGTAAGGAGTATTGTCTGGATTTTTTCACCGGGGCACGCTGGTGTGTTGGGGAATGAACAGGCAGACAGACTGGCTGGCTCTGCACAACTTGGTGGAATACTGATACATAAGGCAGACGTGGTTAGTGTCTTGTGGGAGAACGTGTACAATTCGGAGGAGCAGATGGATCACCACAGTCTGGTGAGATTGATGCAGTGGGGAGTGACGAGAGGTTCTGTCAGATGCTTGAGGCTCAGAGGAAAGGCAAGACTGACGTTTAATCAGAATGCTACTGCCACCATTAGTATCGGAACTCTTCGCTGGCTGCTGAAGATGGGGATGGAGCGTTTATGGGAATGCCCCGAGTGCTGTGATGTCGGTTCTTAAATTAAATCAAATCACATCTCAGGTTGCTATTCGTTTTAAGTTTCTATTTTTTATTCTCCACAGTTCGCTCGAGTGAAGTAGTTGAGTTGTGCCTGTTCACTTCTGCGATTTTTGGGCCTTTCGACCCACACATCTGACTTCATCGATTCTATTTTGTCTGGGTTTTGCTCTTGATATTTCAGTCTTTACGTAAAGGGTGGGCATGCCCTTACACACCGATGGGTATTAACCCTCGTTAAAGCTGTTGCACGGTAGCTGTATGTTAGTTTCCTAATGGTTTCTATGCTGAAGGTGTGTGCTGAGAAGGAATGAATGCTTCACGACAGGAGAATGCACTCACTGTAGGAGGCTACCGATCATCCTCTTAACTGTTCCAACCCATGACTTGTAAAAGCAAAACGGAAATCTGCAGCTGCTGCTCTGAGTCCGCTCAAGCCCTACAGCGAGTGCCCACTGACCAAAGCAGACGATTTACAGCCACTCTGTGCAAACAAAAGTACGCCTCTTGTACCGTTGTTTGTTTGTTTTAGTATCCAGAAGCCATGAGTTGTTAACCCTTAGGCTCGGTATTATGGATATCGCAACCTTTCGGCCTTGATTCCATTGTAAATGCCGTAAATCTGGGAGAAAATGTGGCTTTCCTGCCTACCCCCGGGATTGAACCCGGACCACAAGGAGTTCGTCACCCGGTCTCCGCGCAATCCGGTTTAGCCAACTACGCTAGAGAAAAGGAAGCCAGATACATGGCCTACCCGTATCTCGTACAACCTTTCGGTCTTAGCGTTCAGATAGGGATAAATGGCAAAACGTTAAATAGTAGATCGACAAAGAGAAGGAGGATAACAAATAGCAAGTTAAAGGACAGAGACATAAATAGCCGTAGAAGAAGCTTGTAAGTTAGCTGGGTCAACCATACTGGCTGTTATACACATAAGCCCCTGCCAGTTGCTGACTCCAGGTTACTATGTAAACACAGAGGACCCTAATATTACTGCTATGAGCTTGAACGAGCCTCCCGTGATTTTTACATGTAGGATTCCTGTCCTTAGGGTGGTAGACTTTCAGATTTCAGCCTGGATGGGACAAACGGATTGAAGACTGACACAAGAGCAGTGGCTCTCAAACTTCCTAATGTCGCGACCCCCCTTCAATGCAGTTCCTCATGTTCGTTCGATCGTTCGACCCACAAAAGGGTGGCGACCCACAGGCTGAGAACCGTTCCCTTGAGTAATATAGGTCAAGTGAACAAGTCAAGTTTACCCTAATACAATCAATGCAGAAGATGGCGCACTCAAAGAAATATACCAAGCGCCATACTAGGTATGAGGTTAAAGGAATAGTGGAAGCGAAAACCAACAACGTTGACAGCCGTGAAGCGAGATTACTCTCTGCCATGAAAAACTTAGTCGCAAGAGAAGACGCAGCAGAACAAGTCAACAAAACAACTGCATTGGAAGACACAAGCACAGCTCCAATCGTCAGGTTTGAGGATTTTGAACAACGGTTCAACATCATGGCATGCGGGTGTAACCCATAAGTGCTCCGTTCTTCTTCTAACTCAAGTCTGAGCCCGAATAAGCTCAGCACAGTGCACAGGCTCTGTAGGATCCTGAAATACTTTAGATTTTTAACTCCAAATTTTGCCCGGGCAGCACCACTAGGTTATTTTTTTTTTTCGATTTCCAACTGCCTAGGGATTTTTTTTTTACGTGCGCATAATGCACATGGGCGTCCGATCTCAACCCTCAGAGACCAGGGGGAATTGCTAGAATTTAAAGTCCACGTGACAAAAATCCCAATCCCCACCGGGGATTGAACCAGGAACCTCTAGCACTCGAGGCAGACACCATGCCTCGAGATCACGTTGCCCCCCCCCCCCCCCCCCCCCCCCCGTCACCACAGAATAACAGCAAGTGTCTGACACCGCTTTCCCAGCAAAGATCAAGTTCTAGCAGACCAGAGTGTGAGAAGTCAAACTAGCAAACATTCTCCATGATGGTGATAGTTCACCTCCTGGAGAACCTACTGAGAAAGTGAACCATTGCCCAAGCTCGCCTAACAGACGACACAGGGTCACTGTGCTAAACAAGACTGTCAAATTAGTGATCAACATCACGAAAGATGACCAGACGGACCTGCAGTTGCCCCATGAAATCACAGTCGTGGCCAGCATGTTCTTGTGTTTTATGCGTTGGGTGGTTAGACATGTGAGAACAAAGCTAACCAACAAAGAAATCAAAGAACAGATACAGCAGGAGAATCTAGAACTGAAGGTTGTGAGAGCAGAGTGTCTGATGGAGATAAATAACCCTTCAACATTAGGTGTGGTATCAAATGAAGGAGACAAAGACTACAAATATCCAAGAAGCCAACACCAGCAAAGAAGCAAAAGAAACCATAAAAATAAAAAGGAAAGAAGTTACAATGAGGCAGCGGTAATCCTGACCACAACCTTGGAGGAGCTTGTAGGCAAATCCCAAAAGGCATATCGAGGGTCATCAGAAGAGGAGCGATGGTGAGCATAGCAGATTCCAGTGGTTTGGCATTAATAATAAGTTCACAAGAATTCCCATGCCCCAGAAACACAAGTATTGGGAAGTCTTTATAAGGACCAGTCCTTGTCATAACTTAACCGAGAACTGACACTAACAGCAGCGGTGACTTCATCAGCTTAAACCACGAGAGACAGGGATGACAAAGATATCACAGACAAGTACTACCGGCAACAATGTACCAACAAAGGAAATTGTGATATTGTCTACTCGGTGTCATAGCTGGTTTCGGTTCTTAATTTATAACGTACCCCAAACACGAAATCCCCGTGGGAAATCCACAGCTGACCTGACAGTCCATTATTTCAAGGGATGGAAGTGTGCTGTTGTGTTGTGCTTTTTTTGAGTGTTCATCTAGTGTCTTCTAATGCTAACCCTAACCCTGGCTGTAGATAAATCGCGAGAAACTACAACCTGAACACCCTAGAATTTATTGGGAATGTCTCCCGTGACGTTGTCGTGACGTCAGGGGTAAGTTATAAATTAAGTACCCTGGTTTCTAGTGGTTTGTTCTTATTCAAGTCATGACGGACACTCTAAGTAGACACAGGTGGTACGAGAATCGATATCTCATTGATTTACTTTATTACAATTTCACATACCATTTGTCCGGTCAGTGTCTACTACGACCTAGCCAGTCCAGCGTTATAATATGACATTGTTCAGACATCAACTTGGAGTATTCTCTCAGTCCTCTTTCCTCACATTCAGAATACACGCCATGGTTGTTCCGGTTGTTCTAAGCATGGTGGTTCGACTTCTTGAGCAATTGGAACTTGTTGGATGCCACTTCGGATCGGATAGTCACAGGCTGCTTGTTGTCTTCTCTCAGAACAAACTCCTCACGTAGCCAAATAGTTACATTCACGCTGAATCTCAGATACACCCTTTTACTCCAGCTGGCAAACACATTTTGCCCGATTAGACCTTTAACCTTAAAACCTTGTGCTGGGTTTCCAGTGATCGTCCAACCTGTTTGGGTAACTCGTGTTTCTACGAGTATTTGCGTTATCCAGTTTTTCCGCCGTATCTCAAGGTTCCCCCCTCACATTCTTCCCCAGGGAATCCTCGTGTGAAAATATTAACATTAAAGAAATCATGGCAAAATAACCCTACGACAATTATAACCAGGGCTACTCTGTGAGCTGGCTGAACGTGGTTTCTAGAAAACAATGACACTAGTTTTTTTTTTGCTTGTGAGGAGGGGGACGTTAGATTGTAATGTATACAGTTGGTCAAGGTATAACCTCCGTCAAAACAGTAAGAGATACATTAGTAAAGCCAGACTAAAAAAACATAAGCTGTCTTCTCCATAGCACATAGCCTAAATCACGTGTTGCCCCTACAGCACGATCCCTCAATAGACCTACCTTGTTTACTTCAAAGGAAAGGTAACACTAATAGATTTGGAGCAAAGCATGCTGAAAAAATTAAAGTGTAAGGGTCTGCACTACTAAAACAACTCAGTTTTCAGGTTGCATATCCTCTTCCCAGGATAAGGTAATGGGCTCCTCCGCCCTAAGCCACTAGTAGATTGTATGTCGGGACTGATATACACCACTAACCTTCAATATTAACAGAGAACAGGCAGTAGAGAAAAGGCGGGGATGGGATATTTACTTCCATCAATAAACATCATTCTCCTTTAGATTCCCGCCA